AATTCCAGAAGTTTTGTGATACAGATTCTTCCTGCAACTCTGCAAACCAAAATAAATGTCAACCCTTGCAGACAATCTTCTCGGTTTTTATCGCATGAAGGCATTCCTTTTAAGGGCAAATTTGCGTTTAATTTCGGATTTGGCCACCGAAACTTTTTCGGAGCTATCCTTCAACTCAGTACTGGATCAAAACAAATCAGCCTGCAGGCAGATTTAGTTAGCTCTTCCAATATTATTTTTCTTTTGTTAGCTGACTTCTCGCTGTGACTTATAAGAACCAGGAAAATTTATCTTCTGGTAGGCAAACCCAGCAACAGTCCAATCTATCTGACTGCTTTCATTAGTTCTTACTTGCCTTCTTTCCAACAGCCAGATAGTTAAACACCAAGATAGTGAAGTCAAGCCTCAAAACACGTACAGCAATCTACGTTTCCATTAGAACATGTGTAGTAATATATTCAAAGGATGAAACAGGAATATTTTTACGGAGTGCTGCTGCACTGACGGAAATGCAAAGAACTGAACTTTCAGAAGTCCATTTAGGTGAGCCTTTGAAGAAAAAGAGAAAGTTATCTTCTCAAGGTCCTGATGATGAAATTGTGTGCAGATTATAAAATCATTAGTAAGAGAAGACGTGTCTTAAAGGATACCTCCTGGACCCAATTGTGTCTCAACATATGGACCTGGCTTCCACCTAAAATATTTTTTATCGTGGTTTAATTTCCAACCAGGTCAGAGCAGTTTATTTGATGGATATTAGTTCAACTCTTAAGGACTACATAAAACACACACTTGGGTTAAATCATTGCAGTGTAGTCTAACTGGCTTAAGGAACTGTCTTTAAAAAAGCAACAGTGCATTTAAAACAAATATGCAAGAAAATTATCAGGAAGTGAGGATGAGTAAATATTTAATTGTATTTAAATCAATATAATTATTTGCATTTTGTGCATACAGGGTTTCTTCTCTGCTGTCCAGAGAGAATGGATTAAATAAGCATCAATCGTCAAAACTATTATTTTGGCATACATACATGCATACATATTAGATGTAGAAATATCTTTTATCTTGTTAAAATAAATACATATGCACTTTCAGATTCCGAACTTTATTTGGAAATAAAATTGTTGCTCTAATTTTTTTTAAACAAATACAAATAGATGGCATGCTTTCAGAATTATTCAGATTTTATTTGTCAGGATCCCCATATCATCTCTCCCTATTTCTTTTTTCTAGATTTGATAATAGAACATAATATTCTACTATAGAATATTATATGTTATTATTATATAGAATATTACTGGGGTGATAACAGAATATAACTAGGATTTGAGTCAGACCTGTGTCTGTCTCAATTATTGTTTGGCTTATAGCATTTTTTTAAAAAACCCTCTATTTCAGAGTTTATCTAGCAAGTCTGCCTGGATTCTTAACCTGCAAATGAGCATTCACTGCTTCAAGGTAATTTTAACAAATAGAAATGTTAACGTGTGGTCAGCGTTATGTGACAAGAAATGTTACTTGATACACAGCTTGCACAGCTTATGTTTACTTCAAGATATTTTAAGCTCAAGTCAATAATTTAGGATCTTCCCTGCAGCAAAATATTTGAAACGCAACACCCTGGACACGTTTAATTACAGGGTATAGCAGAGCCAGGCCTTCCAAGTAATTAGAAAATACTTTTTGAAAGACAGCCTAATCACTTTACATGGGACACTGAGATATTAACCTCAAGACGCCTGTAAGAGCTCAGAGGCCTTAGACCAGGAATACAGTATTCGTGGATGCTCCCCTGTACTTTTCACAATATAGGATTTGGAAAAAGAGTCATGACAACGAAGTTGGAGAAAGCAGGACGATATTTTGGAGGGCAGAAAGACGGTACTGAAATGAGTTCTGAGTTACACTAAGGCCCAAAAGAGGCAGCTCAGATGTCCCTCGTTGTTTCTAGCAGTCTCAAAAGTATCCATTTTGAGTCTGACTCAGGTCCATACGAACTAGGCTTCAAATACAGAGAGGGGACAAATAATCTATTTTTATACTTGGATAGAGAGCGGCCCAGGATGCTTAAATACTGTTTTCTCCAGATATTATATTTCTCAGTTGGGTCCTTACGCTAAAAAAAACAACCAACTCCATAATTACAAAATGTTGTGGCAATAATAACTACTATCACGAACAACCTGGGAAAATGGTGGTTCTTCCTGTTCTTTCAGTTTGGATGAAAACAGTAAACAAATATATATGCATATATTTATTAAGTTTTTTTTTATACCCTATAGTTTTGCTGATTCTTTTAACAGTCAACTTGATTTAGATTCAGTTCCTCTTGGGGGTGTAGGGGATTGCTTTCATCTCCAGTGAAAACAATTTCAGACATATTTTCATCACTTGCAGCCCCCCAAAAGGTGAACTTTGCTACCCATGCCCACAAAGACACCTGTGTAAGGAGGAAGGTAGGGATACACTCCACTTAGTCGGTATTTCACAGCCTTTCCGTCCTGCCTCTCCACCCGAAAACGGACGGCTGGAAGGGGTTTCTGGGGTAAAGGAGCCAGCAGCGCTGAGAGGCCCACCTCTCCATTGAGAACTGAGCTCTGGAAGGGGAGGAACAGCTGCCTGTGATCTGCGATCTGCGATGTTTGACTTCGTTGTAGTCTTTGGTCTTTGTAATCATGTGGCATTGTCTCTCTTCCAACATCCCCAGGAACAGTTGGATGGAAAGTGAACTTTTCCTTCCTTCCTTCCTTCCTTCCTTCCTTCCTTCCTTCCTTCCTTCCTTCCTTCCTTCCTTCCTTCCTTCCCTCCCTCCCTCCCTCCCTCCTTCCTTTCCTTTCCCTTCCTTCCTTCCTTCCTTCCTTCCTTTCTTCCTCCCTCCCTCCCTCCCTCCCTCCCTCTCCTTCCTTGACCTTTGTGTGACTTTCACAAATTTCAAGAGTAGCCATGCCAGGAGTCCAGGGAGGCCTGGAGGAGATGCTTATTTTGGTTTTGTCTGTAGGCGGGTGTTTCAGGATTTAGGAAAAAGAAAGAAAGAAAAGAACTACCTTTAGCAGAGAAAGGATCAAGCAAAGAGCGTGCAACGCTGGGTATCTCTTCGCGAAACGATGGCCAGCATCCCGTTCAGATCCCCTTTATTTCTTGGTTTTTGAATGATTTTAAAATTCTAATGCCATTTTCTATTAGATTCAGTGCTGAAAAAAAAAACAGCCCACAATCGCTGTATCATTTCGGCGAAAAGTGCTCGGGGGAAGGGGACGTGGGGGGGGGGGGGCTCTCACGATCCGCTGTCTGTCAACGGGAATCTCTCTGTTTAATATCGTTTTGGATGCTGGAATAAAAGATCAAAGGCTCCTGTCCGTTTTTCAGTTGAATGATTCAATTATCCTATCGCCTTATGTTTATGGCATTGCAGTTCCTAATAATAACAGACCCGGAGAAGGCTGGGTAGTTTTAAAAGCAAATAATAAACAACAATTTTTAAAAAACAAACAGCGGGAATTTCTGATATTACACGCTGGGCTTCCCGATTGCAAAAGCAAAAGCAACGGTTGTTTTAAGTGCCCCAAATCAAGCAAGAGAAGAGAAAGAGAATTTTCTTCTCCTTCTAAAATTACTGTTTTAGATTCTTTATTTTATTTTTCCCTTCCTCGGTCCCTATAAATCAGTAGCACAAAAAGTCTCTTTGTATGGGGCTGGCTCATTTCATATTATTTTTGCAAGGAATTGTGGGAATTCGCTCTCCCCCCCCCCTTTTCTGCCTCCCTCTCTTTCGCCTCCAATTGCAGTTGTAAACAATTTCGGTTTTTTTCCTAATGGTTATCCTTATTATATACCAGAACTCTTTTTCAGACAAAGATTTGAAGGGAAGTGCATCAGCAGGACAAGGGGGGCGAACATCCCTTATTTCAGAGGATTAAATTATTTCGGCATTTCTTCTTTTAAAAAAAAAATAAAAAAAAAATTACCCGGCAAGTTGGAGGCTATCGCTTTAAAATGAGGGAGGGGGTATCGTGAGCCAGGAGGAGGAGGAGGAGGAGGAGGAGGAGGAGGAGGCTGCTTCTGTCATTTACCAAAACGCGACTGTGTCACGTGTGGGAGAGCTTCTTCTGCCATTGGCTCAAGGCACGTGTCTAAGATACCGGCTTGGCCACGTCACTCGTGGAGCTCTATTAAAAATAAGAACAAAAATCCAGAGTGAAAGTATTTCAGGTTGAGTTTAAGTGGCTTCTAAATTCACACCCCTCATCCGGAGAGCCAGGGCAAACGAGACGGGGTGAGAGAAAGAGAGAGAAGGAGGAGGGGGAAAAAAAAAGAGAGAGAGAGAGAGAATGAGAGAGAGAGAGAGCGAGAGGGAGAAATTTCCCAGCCCAAGCCCTCCAATGCAACTTAGAATATTTGGCTGAAGGGGGAGGGAGAGCTGGGGAGCCGCGGGATTTGTGCAGAAGCCTCTGGTGAGGCTCAGGGCTGCGCTCGCCCTGCGCGGAGCCAGCCAGCCAGCGAGGCAGGCGTTTGCTCCAGCCAGACCGATGGGGTGGCCTTGACTTTTCCCCCCTGGAAGGATTTCTCTGCTGCTGCTGCTGCTGCGTAATTTTTGCCAGGATATCGCCGGGCTCTTATCAACCCACAGGAGCCGGAGCAGGGGGCGTGCGGGCGTGCGGGCGTGTGGGTGGGTGGGTGGGTGGGGGGCGGCGGATGTTTAGTCCTAACGATGACTACGTTGCTGGGCCAAGGACGCAGGAGGGGCCTGCAGAATTGAAGGGAGGAACCCTTTAATAGCTCCGGGAGGCAGGAAGAAAAGAAGGAGATCGCGGCCAAGTCGGGGGGTCTGAACTACCCGCAGCCCGGGGCAGGCGCAGGATAGCCGCCTTCCGCAGACCCGGCTCTCCCTCTGGATCCCGCCGCCCGGTTCGGAGAGAAGCGCCGCGCGCCTGGCGGTCGGCGTGGGGTGGGTGCGTCGCCCAAAGGCGAGGGCAGCTTTCGGGCAACCGCGGGCCGGCATGGAGGAGAACGAGCAGCACCTGGGCGACGGAGGTGCCGAGCCGCCGCCTCCGCAGCCGCCGGAGGAGGCCAGCAGCGGCAGCGACGGCGAGGCCAGCCGAAGGAGGGCCCTGCTTGTGCCCCGCGTGCTCCAGGCTCCGGGCAATCACCCGCACCCGCCGCACCGCATCACCAACTTCTTCATCGACAACATCCTCCGCCCGGAGTTCGGCCGCAAGAAGGACGACGGCAGCGGCGGCGGCGGCGACGGCAGCGGCAGCAACAGCCCGGAGCCGCGGCGGCGGCGACAGCAACAGCCGCCGCCACCGCAGCAGCAGCAGCAGCAGCCACCGCATCTGCTGGGCGCCAGGAGTCCGTCGGCAGCTCCGGCCGCGGGTTCCCTGGCCGAAGGAGGCGACGGCGGCAGCGGCGGTCCCAAGACTGGGGTCCCCGCCAAAAAGGGAAGCGACTGCGGGGAGCTCGTCGGAGCCTTGAAGTCCGGCGGCGGCGGGGACTTGTCGCTCAGCTCAGATTCGGACAGCTCGCAGGCCAGTTCATTTCCCGGTGGTCAGCCCATGCTGTGGCCGGCCTGGGTCTACTGCACCCGCTACTCAGACAGGCCTTCCTCAGGTAAGCAGCGGCATTGGGTCTACTCGGTCACCCGCTCGCACGGACGAGAGAGGCCGGGGCCGAAAGCCGAGGCGCAGGAGAAGGAAGGAGGATGGCAGAGAAGGTGGTATTCCTTGAGGGGGGGGGCTGCTTGGGAGGGACTGGCGGCGGTGGGAGACCCCCTTCCCAAACGGAGGAAAGCCTCCACCCAAAGCTCCGCTCACCAATCTCAAAGCAGCCTTGAAAAGCTTTTGCCACAGGCCTCCCTCAACACGGGAGTCTTCCCGCCGGTGGAACTGCTTGGAAGGCGGCCTGTGGAAAAAAAAAAACCGGGCAGAAAATGGCAGGACCGTAGCGAAGCGCTTCCTGCTCCGCCGCCTCCTTCTCCAGCTCCGCTCCAGCTGGGGAGCGCTCCTTGGAGCCTGGCGCTTGACTGCAGCCGGCTAGCGGGCTCGGAGGCTCGCCCCCTCCGGGCCTTTGCGCCCTTTCCCTTCGGGGGTCTTCGCAAGGGCGCTGAAAGCCATTCCGGGGGCCGGGGAGGGGCGCAGGCCGCGAGAGTTTTGCGAGGGCGCCCTCGACCCGCTTAGGGGGAGGAGACGCCGCGAATGGGATACGTCCCCCATCTCCGCGGTCAGCCAGGGCTCCGCTGGCTGTTTGTTTGTTTGCCCTTCTTCTGAATGCAACAAACGGAATTTTTATTCCTTTCCCGGTTGCATTTTATTACTGATTTCCAAACAAAAACGGGAAGCGAAGATTTTGTGATGAGAGCTTCCATGCGGGGGATATTTGGCACCCGAGCCTGAACTCCATTGTTCTCCACCTTCCCGCTTTGTTAAGGTCTCATTTCCTCGGGCCCCGATCCCGACCCAGCCAGGCTTCCCAGGACGCCGAGTCGGTTGCCGCTTGGCCTCTCCCGTCCTTCTTCCTCTTGGAAAATGCAAAAAAGGAAAGCGCGAGGGCGGCGGCGGGCCTTATAGCACCCGAAAGCCACAAACCCTTGGCTCTTTTCTGCTCTCCCAGCTGAGCGCTGTGCGAAGGGTTGGCCTGCGGGGAAAGCCAGGAAATCTCACCCCCCGGAGTTGGAAGGGCCAGCTCTGTCTTTGCGAGTCTGGGAGGCCGCGAAGTCTTTCTCCTGACCCTGGGAAGCGAGGAAGGTTTGTTGGCTGGTTCGTTTGAACAGAGGCCGCAGCCCTTGAAACCTTTGCTGGTGGGTTCCAGAGCAGGAGGGAGGCAGGGAGGAAAAATAACAGGGGATTCTCCCCCCCCCACCAACACACACACCTTTCCAAAGGCCGAGCGAAGCGGCCCGGTCTCCGCTTTCTCCCGGGAAACATTTCCCATCTCCCGCCCCCCTCCCAAAAAAAAGTCCCGCTCCGAGCGATCTTCTGACAGGTCAGTCGGCCGCCTAATTCCCGGTAAAAGGGGCTGCCTGTCTCGAGGATCCGAAGCTGGCTGGCCTGGGCAGAACGGAGGGAAGGACAGCGCCACTGCGGCCGGGTTCTCGCCAGCCGCCGCCGCCGCGGCCCGGGAGTGGAGGGACAGCGCCTGCCGGAGTTGGGCTTCCTCGGGGAGGGCTCTTGCAGGGAATCCCCAGGTCCTAATGCTGCCGAGAGGCAACAAAGAAGGAAAGCAGGCTGGAGAGGGGTCCTCGGCAGAAGGGAGCTAAAGCGCAGTGGCTGGCTGCGGAGCATGGGCCGGGTGGGTTCCAGCCTCGCTCTTTCCCCCCCCCCCCCCGCCAACGGGACCCTCGGCTTCCTGGGAGTCCCTTTGGCCGGCGGTCTCCCGAAGGCCGTCCTCGGGAGGGGCGGGGGTCTTGGCTTCCCTTCTCCCCTTTTCCTCTGGCGTGCAAGCTGGCGTCCCCGGAGCTGGCAAGGCCGACAAAGAGGAACTGGCGGTGCCTTCCCGCTCACCCCTCCTCTCTCTCTCTTTCTCTCTCTTTCTCTGTCCTCCTCCTCCTCCTCCTCCTCTCCCCGCGGCTCGCAGGCCCCCGATCGCGGAAACCAAAGAAGAAGAGCGCGAGCAAGGAGGACAAGCGGCCCCGGACGGCCTTCACCGCGGAGCAACTGCAGAGACTCAAGGCGGAGTTTCAGACGAACAGGTACCTGACGGAGCAGCGGCGCCAGAGCCTGGCTCAGGAGCTCAGCCTCAACGAGTCCCAGATCAAAATCTGGTTTCAGAACAAGCGGGCCAAAATCAAGAAAGCCACCGGCAGCAAGAACTCCCTGGCCGTGCACCTCATGGCGCAAGGGCTCTACAACCACTCCACCGCCTCGAAAGACGGCAAGTCCGACAGCGAGTAGACGGCGGGAGGGGAAGGGGAAGGGCGGGAGGGGGGCCCGGCGGCGGCGCAGCCGGACGGGCTTTAGACAATGCAATAATTTAATGAAGATGATGAAAAAAATGAGATAGATCTAAGGGCCAGTGTACAAAGATTATACCAGCATAAATAGCGGAAAATATTGTATTAGATAGAATTCTGCAATATTCTCTCTGTGTAAATACATACACACATATATATATATGTAATTTATAAATATATGCACACACACACACACACATATATATATATTAAAAAAATTGCAGGTGAGATGTAAAAAAAAATCCAAATATCTGATTATAAAATATTTTTTTTATTTTTTTTTATTTTGCTTTTTTGTTTCTACAAAAACTTTAGACGCTGACGGTCGATTTTTTTAAAAGCTTCAGTTCCTTTTTATAGACGGTTTTAAACGGACTGGACACTCTTTTTTGAAGCTCAATATATCTATCTTATCTATATATATATATATAAAAGACAACTTTTTTGCTGAAGTCCAAAGATTTTTATTGCTGCATTTCACGAGACTGTGAACCGAATAAATAGCTCTCCTATTTGTTCTGCGAGTTTAAATGTTTCTTTTTCTCCTCCCCACCACCCTTTCCCTCCTCTTACGCTGCCTGTGGGGGAGTGGGTGTGAGAGAATAACTCCAACCATAAAAATATACTGGTAAGCATACTGCCTAACACATACTGCCCTTTGAGGAATTCAAGTTAAAAGAAATCCTGAGGCACCTCACCGACCCCAGGAATTTCTCTCTCTCAATATTTCCTCTGTTAAAAGTGGTGGGAGGAAAAAGTGACTTAGAAAAAGTTGTTAAATAGTGGGAAACTTCCAGAAGGCTTAAGGCGGCGGCCGTTGTTTCTTCTGTAGGCCAGCTGTGGGAACGGAAAAGTTTAGAAAACAGCCTTTCCGCCGAACAGAAGCCGCGCCAGTGCGCTTCGGCGGTCTCTCTCCCTTCCGTGGTGTAGCTCAGCCCGACGAGGCCAGGAGCAGGGCGGCCTGGGGGTTAAGCGGTTTTTCTTTTGGGGAGGGGCTGGTTTAGGTTCCCTCTTGGCACTTATGTGCAGCCATGGGTGTCAGGGAATCTGGGATGCTCACCGCAGTGGCTCTTAGTTTAAGAAAGGAAAATGGGAGAAGTGGAAAAAAATGGGGTGGGGGAGGCCCGTATGGCGAGAGGCGTTCACTACATTAAATTCTTTCTGAAGGAAATTCGGTCTGCTTTCTTTAAAAGAAACAGGAGGCCGGTGTTTGTCAGTGCTGCCTTTCATTCCCAAAAAATAATAAATTGAGCATAGATCCATGAAGAGTTAAAGGGTTTGCAACTGGACTTTTTAATTTTCAGGGACTCTCTCCCTTTCCTGGTTATGTACCCTCCTTTCTGTGTGAGCTGAGTGAAGAATTTGTACTGGTGCAGATTTTCCTCCTGTCCCCTTGCTTTTCTGCTTCAAAGGTGAGCATCCAAAATCTTTGCCCCAGGCCCCGCAAATTTCCTCCACCTGTTCAACTATCAGGACTACACCCTGCTTGGTGGTAAACTACTCACTTTGCCTTAAAAACACACACAGTTATAAAAGATACATGTGTACGTACTGTAGTCCTGCCAACTTTGGGGGGAGGAGAGAAACTTAAATGCTGTAATTTTAAATTCTGTGAATAACCATTAAATGCTTAGGAGATGGTATACAATGGTACTACCATGTAGCAAAGCAAAGGGTTTTTTTTTCAGTTTTATGAAATGTGCATTTTACAATTCGCAACATCAAATATTTATAATTTATGAAAGATGAATGTTTCTGTTTATGACTGTGGTCTCGAAGTTGTGGACATTTTCACTGCATTTTGTGTGCTTAAATCTTGGAAGAGTGCATTAAATAAAAAAAACCCCAAATTTATTATGAAACCTACAATGCGTGCATTAAAACTTTAGACTTGTATTCTTCATGTTCTTGGCTCCCAGGAGGATTGTGCTTAAGTGTAAAAACTTGTGAATATTTTGCAGATAGATGGTTCACTGAATTATTAATTGAGAAATATAATTAACAATTTGTACACAAGGAAAAGGTTACCAGACCTTTTAATTTTGGAAGCTTTAGAATTAATATATAATTAATAGCATATGATATGTACAATAAAATTTTCACATACAGTATTATAGCTTCTTTTTGAAGAAAAAGCTATACATACATCCTTGAGAAATTATCTAAGAAACCATACATGGAAATTATCTAAGAAACCATACATGGAAAACCTAAAATTACATTTGGATTAATATTAACCCTCTATTAATACATTAAAACCCTGGCAGTATTAATCCTGCTATGAAGGATGAACTTAATGTAACTCTCATTTGTTCTGCAATTAAAAACAACAACAACACATTTCAGGTAAATTTGCTAAGACACTCTATGCTGCCTGAATCTCAATTATATTGCCAGACTTAATTCTTAATTTTTTAAAGACAATTATAGTATATACTCATCAGACATAGGTTTATCTTAAAAATAAATCCCATCGAAGTTACTTCACTTCCAACTAAAAATACCGTACTTTGAACTTCAATCTCTATACTATACATCAGTATTGTCATTCAAGAATGTATTTATATCTATAATTGCAAATGACTGCCAATAAGAAATAAACCTTGCTGCAACTTTCTGAAATAAGTGCATTATCTCAATATCTGCAGTCAAAACTTTGCAATGGGATCTGGTCTTGGCAGAAAGCAGAAACCTTTGTAAAATTAACTTTGGAAGGAATTGAACACTTTGCTGCAAGAGAATGTGGAATCTGGCAGAATTTATTACCTGCTACTTTATAGAAGTCATATTTGTCCCATCGGAGGCTGGGTTCCAACAGAAAGTCAGATGTGCTGGATAGCACACAATGCATCACACTCTCAAACTGGGAATGCAAATAACTATGGGCAGATTTAAACTTAAAATCTTGCAGGTGAGATGGAGTTATGCTAGTAGAAAAATAAGCTTTGCTGTGTCCATGGAGGTATCTCATCAGTGTCCAAAGGTCTATCAGAATTGTCCAAGGCTTTTATCGGAAATGGGTGCTGGAGAATCCCTCTGTATCGTCATCTTTCAGAAGAAAATATGTTATCCACAAATATCAAATTTGTGGTTCAGAGGCAGAAGCAGCTGTTGGCTTGGATCTACAGGGATCCTTGACAGGGCCGAAAATCAAAGCCAAATGAAGACAAAATACTACAAAAGGCTCATTTTATTTTCTCCTTAACATTCTTCTTTTCCTTCTCTAGGTATTTACACCTTAGCCAAGTGATGTAACAACTATAATTGCTCACAGAACAAATTGTATGAGCCTATAAATAAGCAGTGTGTATTTAGAAAACTAAACTGTATATAGAATCTTAATTTTTGCTAATTGTTAACATATGTTTGTGTGTTTTTCCCCCAACTGATATGAAATAAAAATGCTTGCATTTAAATCAGATTTACTTCTATATAACTTGGTGGGCCTTTAATTCTGTCCCTTCTCATATCTGAGTCAGTTTATTTTGGGGAGTGTTTGGAGAATGTCTTCTGCAATGCATTTATAACCAAGTCATCTTACAGTCCTTAGAATACAATGTTACAGATATTAACATTAAATTTCATAAGGCTTACTCTCAAGTAAATGTACATAGGATTGCATCCTTTAGAAGGAGTAATTTTAAATTTTTGCAAATAGTACTGGAAGAAAATCTTTAATTGTAGAATCCAGGAGAATGAATGAGGTTTATTTATACTAAACAGGCTTGCTGGATGGTTGGTTTCATTGATGTAATAGAATTAATTCCAACTAAATTAGGCTGCCCATTTAGTTGGCATTCCATGTCACTGAACTCAGTCTTATTTACTTGTTTAGAATTGTCTCTTAATCAACTCCCAAGCTTTAATGGGATTTTTAAAACCAGTGCTTAAAAATAGTGGTATTGTTTATGAAAATAAATGCATCTCTTCATTGTTTATGAAAATAAATACATCTTTTCAAACTCAACACCTTGTAAGAAATCATTGTCTTATGCCGTGATCTGCAGCACCGTTGTTTTCTGCTGGAAAATAAAAGGGCAATCAAATGCAATTAAGGTTAACAGGGACCTAACCTTAAGCAAATAGTTGGTTCATAAGCAGTCTCTTGTTCCAGTTATCATCTGACTGATGAAATCTGTTGGTAGCAACAATCCGGCAATCTGTAATGTCCCATTCAAATAGGCTTCCATCTGGCAGCCAGGCACTATATATGCAAATATCCTTGCCCTACTTGGCTCTGTTGGTCATCTTGGAAAGGCTATAGGGCTACTTCTAAGTGGTCAGTGATTCGCCTGTTAAGAGAAGAAGTAATTTTGCAAACTCAAGGCTTGCGGCCAAAAAGCCACTCCACATTCTGCTGATTTAGTATCCAACTTCTCTAGTCAACTCCTGCCCTATCCATCAGAAGCACCCCTGAAATCCTTTGATTTCCAGACTAGCCTCTCCTAGTAGAAGATGCTCAGGAGAAACCTCAGAGGTATAGGAGGAAATCCCCATTAACTATCCCTATGCAAAAGTCAGCTGCAAACTCTTGATTATAACATCCAGTAATGACATATTTCTTTCCTTCTTCGGTGGTGGGAATAAAACAACTGAAGGGGTCCACCCTTTGAGAAAGTAAAGGTTTTGGAGATGCAACGGGGCTACTTTTAGAGTAACTGCAGGCCATCAGAATCGGATTTCCCATGGAAATTTCCCATGGAAATCTGGAAGAAGCTGGTGGAAATAGATGACACTTCGAAACCTCTTGCAGGACCCAGGATAGAAAAGGAAGCACCGTGTAAGGGGTCCAATCCTGCTGGGGAATCCTGCTTGCAGAATAGAAGCAAGTTGAAATTTCTTCACTCTTCCTCTCTGTCCCTTACATTTAATCTCTGTGGGGTGGGGAGGAAACTTGCCCAGTCAAACATTGGGGGCAATGGCAAAATATCTGGCTCACAG